AAGGATACCAAGACAATTAAAGAGAAAAAGAATACTCTCTCAAGCAAATGGTTCTGAGACAACTGAGGTATCTACATACAAAAGGATGAAATTGGGTGGGTATGGTGGCTCATGCCTGTAATCCCAGCACTTTGGAAGGCTGGAGTGAGAGTATTGCTTGAGGCCAGAAGAAAAGCCTGGGGAACGTTGCAAGACCTTCATCTCTATAAAAAATTAGCTGGGCATAATGGCATGTGCCTGTAGCCCCAGCTATTCTGGAGGCTGAGGTGAGAGGATCGTTTGAACCTAGGAGTTTAAGGCTGCAGTGAGCTAAAGCTAAGATTGCACAGCCTGGGTGACAGAGTGAGATCCTGTCTCTAAAAAAAATAAAATTGAGAATGTGATACAGAACACATTTCAGCCATTTTTTAATGCTCTGCAGCTACTCAAAAGGTTAAACATAGACTTGCCATATAACTCAGCAATTCCACTTCTAGTTATATACCCAAGAGAAGTGAAGGCATACATCCACACTGAAATTGTACATGAAGGTTCATGGCAGCATTACTCATAGTAGCCAAAAAGTATAAACTAAGAAGTGTCCATTAATTGATGAATAAAGAAAATGTGGTATATTTTTGGCAATATACAGGAATGAAAGGAATATTATTATTTAAAAAGAATGAAGTACTGATACATGCTACAAAATGGATGAACCTTGATAACATTATGCCAAGTGATAGAAGCCAGATACAAAAGGTCACATATTGTCTGATCCTATTTATATAAAATGTCCAGAATAGGTAAATCCAAAACACAAAATGGGTTAAGGGTTGCCTAGGGCTTCAGGGTGTGGGAGTAAATGGGGATTAACTGCTAATGGTGCAGGGTTTCTTTCTGGGGTGATAAAAATGTTCTAAAATATGTTAGAGTGATGGTTATACAACTTTGTGAATATATCATACTAAAAACCATGGAATTTTACACTAAAAATGGATGAATTTGATCATGCATGAACTATATGATTCACTCTTTAAAAAATATATTTAAATTCCTCTTATGTCTCCATATTGATTAGAAGGAAAAGTTGCCAGCTCTCCGACCCTTGTTCTGTGGCCACATCTCCCTCTGACCATAATCAAGAAGTACTCCCTGCATTTATGAACTCATGTCATCAGATCAGGCCCACCCAGATAAATCTGAGATAATCCCCACATCTTACAGGTCTTACCTATAATCATATCTGCAGAGTCCCTTTTGGCATGGAAGGTAACGTATTCATAGGTTTTGGGAGATTAGGATGTTGACATTGTGGGGAACCGTTATCCTGCGTATCACACCCTGTTTTATACTTCTTTCTATTGCATAAGAGTCTCACACATGTTGACTGATGGAAAAAATATATTATGCAAGTACTAAGAGCAGCCACAATGCCAGCTAAAACTGGGTTATCTATACATCAGACAAAGTAGATTTAAAGGAGGAAAGCATTATTAGAATTAAAGAGGGAGTTTTCAAAATAATTATCAGTCATAGGAGAGATTTTTAACATACCTCTCTCAGTAAATGATAAAACAAGCAGACAAACAAAAATGACCATAAAGATCTAAAAGATTTGAAAACCATAGTTAACAAACTTGACCTGAGTGATATACAGAGCATTGAGACCAACAACTTCAGACTACATGTTTTTTACATTGGTGCTTGGATAATTCATAGCATTAAATGTATGTATTGGAAATGAAAGTGTTGAGTATCTGTTCTTTAAAAGGTTATAAAAAGAATAACAAATTAAGCCCAAAGAAACTAAAGGAAGGGAAATAATAAAGATAAAAGAAGTTAATGAAATAGAAAACAAACATACTACAGGTAGGATCTACAAGGCCAAAAGTTTGTTGTTTGAAAGGACTAATAAAATCGGGCTGAGTGCGGTGACTCACGCCTGTAATCCCAGCACTTTGGGAGGCCAAGGCGGGCAGATATGAGGTCAGGAGTTCCAGACCAGCCCGGCCAACATGGTGAAACCCTATCTCTACTAAAAATACAAAAAATTAGCTGGGCATGGTGGCACACACCTGTAATCCCAGCTACTCGGGAGGCTGAGGCAGGAGAATTGCTTGAACTCAGGAGGCAGAGATTGCAGTGAGCCAAGATCGCACCACTGCACTCCAGCCTGGGCAACAGAGCAAGACTCCATCTAAAAAAACCAAAAAACAAAACACTAATAACTAATAAAAATCAATTAAACACTAGGAAAATATATCTTGGAAAAAAATGAGAAGCATGAGTTGCTAATATCAGGAATAAATAGGCAACATTACTACAGATGCTCCAAAAGTTCACATGTATTACACAAATTCCTAATAAAATACAAGTTATCAAAACTGACACAGGGAGAAACAGAAGATCTGAATGGTCCTATACCTGCTCAGGAAATTAAATCAATGATTTCAAACCTTCCCACAAAGAAAACTCTAGGCCTAGATGGCTTTACCAACAAACACTTTTTTATGGATGAATAGTATTCCATTGTGTCTATATACCACATTTTCTTTATCCATTCATCTATTGATGGACACTTAGGTTGATTCCATATCTTGACTATTGTAAATAGTGCTGCAATAAACATGGGGTGCAGGTATCCCTTTGGTATACTGATTTCCTTTCCTTTGGATAAATACCTAGTGATGGGATTACTGCACTGTATGGTAGTTCTATTTTTAATTTGTTGAGGAACCTCCATACTGTCTTCTATAATACCTTTACTAATTTACACTCTCACCAACAGCACACACATACATTTTTAAAGCATAAAACAGTACTATTTATTATCCCTTGGCACATATGTATTCTGCATTTTAAAATGGCTGAAGGAAGGACTGAAGTCACAATAGTAGCAGCTTCTAGAGGAGTAAATGAAAGGACAGGGTTTGAACATAGGAACAAAGGAGACTTCAAGTTCATTTTTATTGTCCAGTTTCTTTTTTTTAAAAAAAAAAAAGCAAACATGGCAAAATGTTAACATCTGTTCATCTTGGGTGATGGCTCATAGGGTGTTAGTCATGTTATTCTTTGTAATTTTCCCTTTGTTTAATTTCTCAAAATGAAAACAATAAAGTCAAGATAATAGTATCTTTCATAGTTTAGTCTTAGGCTTATTTATTGTTTAGGTATTTTATGTTCCTGTTTGTTTTAAGAAAAAAAATGTGTATAAATATACGTATAGATGAGATAAATTTCCTTTTTTTGTTTATGTTCACAAAACATGCTTGTTTTATTTAACATTCTTTGGTATCAAAATGTGGCCTTCATACAAACTTGTGAGGAGTAAACCATGAGGGTTCACGGTTTTACCGCAGTCTGTATGTTAGCAGCCACTTCCTGTGATAGTCATCATCATGCACCTCAAGTACTAGAAGCATCCGTTTGTATTGGAGCCAAAATATCCACAAGCAGAGAAACGAGAAGTCAAAAATATTTTCCTCTTTGGTGCTAAAGATTTGCTGCTGTGTGATTGTTGAGACTGAAGCTTGAAAGCACCAGTGTTTGCTAGATCTGTCTCCAGCTTGTCTCTACAAGGTCATTTCCAAACGACTGTCAAAAGAATGGCATGTCCCACCTTTTCCACCACCGACACACCCGCATGAAAACCCCAGGAGCACAGAAGCCCTGCTTGGGTGAGGATGAGGGCTCTCTCAAAGTCTATTATCAAAGGAAGGCAGACAGATGGGTTAACCACTCCAATGGAGCCTATACTTTTACAGACATTTCACGTATTATGACAATTAATTATTAGGCTGGTGGTTCAGCAACCTTTTGAAGTGATCCCAAGATGATTGCCATGACCATATTTGCAAAGCTAACAGATAAATGTGGGCTTAAAACAGACTATATGTTATTCACTCCTACCATATGCATAGGTAGGAGTGAGGTGAGGGCCCTCGTGGACCCACCAGGGTCTTCCGCAAGAGTAGAACTCTCTCCTTGTTCACTCCTTTCATAATCAGGCAAAGGAGGAAGTTATTCAAAAGGAGGAACTGAGCATGCTCAACCCAGACCCTTTTGGCTGGGTCCAATTTCCAGCCAGCCTGTCACCTGGATATATGTAAGTGCTCTGGTCTGCTCTCAGTTGTGTGCTCTAAGGGAGGCCAATGGGTGTTCAGCAAGATCAACGATGAGGATTAAGTCTTTCTAAGTCAAGGGTCAATTACAAACAAGATCACTCTGCCACAGATCTGAAGCCATATTCTCTCCAATCGATTTTGTCAGTAATAAAAGCAATGTTTTTTGTTCCATCTGTTTATCCTCTACCTCTTAATTTGTTTCAAACTTAAGAGGGGGTAGAGATTAGTAATTGCTCCCCACAAAAGCAAAAAACCAACCTGATGATAAATTAATATAAGATCTCAAACATGATAAAGTAATATAATCCATGATACCAGCCAAAAATTTGTATACCACATTTATTCTTACCCCCATAGTTATCCTATCTGAATAGTTAACTGAGCACTGCTCACTTTTAGATTTCATAAGAGTTGTTAAAAAATAAATCTTTGTACTCTATCTTGGCATGCATGAACTCTCATAGCTTGAAATGACTGCATTAAAATGCACATTTTATAATTTCTTATACTATTTACGTAAGTATAAGCACACACAGAAAATGTATTTAAATTTTTAATAGCCAAAAACAAAAACCAAAAAAAAAGTCACCCTGCTGTAACAGAACACTGTTCTGCATATGGCTAGCTGTACATTGGCAGAACATAGCGATTTTAAGGATGAATTAGTGTTGTAATCTCTTTGGGATTTTCTTTATATTTGCGGTGGTTTATGACTGACATTTCATGTAACTATAGCTTTCTGTTTGGGTTTAATAAAAGATTCATTTCTGTGGCAAGATACACATTTGCACTCCAGTGTTGAATAAAAGCTACTGTTCTGCAAGAGTATAAAATGCTGATTTATAATGACAGGTTCCAATAACAGAGATCTAAGTCTTTCAAACTATTTCTTCCCAGGTCCCGGGAACAGCGTGGCTCCAGCAAAGGATGACTCTTCTCTTCCAGAATATTCAGCCTTTAACACATCTGTCCATGCTGCAATTAGACATGGAAATTGGAAACTCCTCACGGGCTACCCAGGTAGAGTGCTTAGCTTAGCAAACTTCGCTTCCCGGGGTAGACAAAGCAGGGCTGTGTCCTCAGGGCAGTATCTCCAGTCTGTCTGCACTCCGGGGATTTTATTCCCACTGCCATTTCTCTGGAAAGAGAGGACATTATCACTCTTGTTCTAACCATTTCCCACCTCTTCCTCTGTGGCTCCTCCTCAAGGCTCCTAAGCCCTACCACTCACCTCACTTTGCTCAGATACCTGAAATCTTAACTTGTCTTTCTAATCTTTCATGATCCCTCCTGATATATGTCCTAGGAAGACAACTATTTATTCAGGGTTTTCTTTTCCCACTTTTAAGACTCTGCCTGTTCCCAGTTACAGTTTCCATTGTTGTCATGGTGCAAGTAAGCTTTCCCAATGGATCATCAAGGAGAAGCTTACCAAAGTAACAACTGCCTTTTGCAAAACGTATCTCTGGGGCTGCTGAGTGAGGAAATTATAAGAAGGAATGGTTTAACCTACTCATCCTAACAAACAAACAAAAAAAAAGAGAGAGAGAGAAAGAGAGAGAATTAACTGTAGCAGGGGTGAAAGGAATAAATGTCACTCTTATGCTTCATGGAAAATACAGATTTGAAATATATGTGGCTATCAAGCACAACACATTTAGCTAGCAAAGACAGTCTCTGAGAGCTACACCCTCAACCAGTGGTATAGCTGGGGAAGGAGGTTGCTCCCTTGATTATATTCTCTAAGAGTAACATCTTTTCAATACTTTTAAAATATGTGGGATGATGGTTAAGCCTGTGATGTAATTAATCAATGTTTCCAATGAGAACATTCTTGGCATTTGCAATAAGACAAGTCTTTTTTGACTGGGGTTGTCCCATGTATTGCAAGACATTAACATTACTAGCTCATGCCCACTAAATGCCAGCAGCACCCCATGCCCCAGTCCTTGTGACAAGGACATACACACATACACACACATTTCTGGGTGTCCTTGCTTGTGAAGCAGTGAGACATGTCTAGTTAAAGCACCAGAAGTCAAGTCTGAGAAGCATCTAGAGACAGCATCTAGGGCCACATCTTTTTGTGTGTCCACACCCACGACCCAGTGCAGCCTTGGCCTCAGACTCCTTCCCTGAGATTAGAACCTGCCTCTGTGCTTCTCCCTCAGTAAACTGTTCTGTTTTCTTTGCTAGGCTGTGGTTACTGGTTCCCTCCACCGTCTCAATACAATGTTTCTGAGATACCCTCATCAGACCCACCAACCAAGACCCTCTGGCTCTTTGATATCGATCGGGACCCTGAAGAAAGACATGACCTGTCCAGAGAATATCCTCACATCGTCACAAAGCTCCTGTCCCGCCTACAGTTCTACCATAAACACTCAGTGCCCGTGTACTTCCCTGCACAGGACCCCCGCTGTGACCCCAAGGCCACTGGGGTGTGGGGCCCTTGGATGTAGGATTTCAGGGAGGCTCGAAAACCTTTCAATTGGAAGTTGGACCTCAGACCTTTCCTCATGACTCTTGTCTCATTTGTTATCCCAATCTGAGTTCACTTGGCCCTTCTCTTGCTCTTAAACCACACCGAGGTGTCTAATTTCAACCCCGAATGCATTTAAGAAGCTGATAAAATCTGCAACACTCCTGCTGTTGGCTGGAGTGTGTGTCTAGAGGTGGGGGTGGCTGGGTTTATCCCGCTTTCCTAAGCTGTGGGACAGCTGGGAACTTAACTTGAAATAGGAAGTTCTCACTGAGTCCTGGAGGCTGGAACAGCTGGCTCTTTTAGCCTCACAAGTCAGACGTTCGATTCCCGTCTGCCAATAGCCGGTTTTATTGGAGTGAATCACATTTCTTACACAAATGAAGGAAGCAGACAATTATTAATGGTTCTGTTGGCCAAGGCTTCTCCCTGTCGGTGAAGGATCATGTTCAGGCACTCCATATGAACCACCCCTCTTGGTTCGCCCCTTACTCAGCTTCTCTCATCACAGAGCATGAAGCCCATCTTGTTGTTCAGGTCAACAGCAAAATGCCTCCACCTTGATTGTGGCTTTTACAATAAAGAAATGTGTTTTTATCCTAATTTATTTTTCCCCAGCCATTGCTCACTCTGTCTAGACTTCCTGCCACTTCCAGTTCTTCTGTGGCTTTTCCTGCCTTTCCTTTTGACCTCACTGTCCTATCCCTGGGAAGGCCACTTTGCTTCGCTACCTAAGCACCCCTGATTTCTGGAACGCTCCTGAGCCCTGCCTTACTTTTGCCGCTAGGGCTGAAGCTAGAGGCCTCCCTGTAATAGGCGGTGGAGTTGCTCTGTGAGGATGTTCATGGTAGACACTAAGAGGGCTGGGTGGTAGATGCCAGGCTCATGGCATCTGTTCAGCGAGGCTTTTCCTATGTTGCATGGAGTTAGTCATCGTGATTGTGGCTTTATCTCATAATGCATTAAGACTTGCACTGCTATTTACTAGCAGTGAGAAGAAACCTCAGGAAACAATATGAAAAAGCAAGTGGCCAGTGTCTGGGATACTGGGCCTTGGTAAAGCAGAGGAGGGCACACCCACAGTCCTCTTTTTCTCTGTTTTACTGCTTGTATTGAGGTTCTGGGGTCTGGGAAAGAGGATGCACAGTTTGACCTGCAGCTCTTTCTCAATCCCACTAATGTCTTACTAATGTGGAACAGTCCATAGTAGCTCGAGAGTGTCAAACCCAGATAAATATGTGCAAAAATGATATTCTTTTCTGCATTTGCCCCACCATTTTGTTCACCAATGCTTGGAACACTGCCTGAAGGCACTCAATACATTTTTTAAGTTTTATTTTATTTTTAATTTTTTGTATCTTTTTGAGACAGGATCTCACTCTGTCACCCAGGTTGGAGTACAGTGGTACAGTCACAACTCCCTGTAGCCTCGAACTCCTGGGCTCAAGTGATTCTCCCACCTCAGGCACCCAAATAGCTGGGACTACAGGCATATACCACCACACCCAGCTAATTTTATTTTTCGAAAAGACAAGGTTCCCTATGTTGCCCAGCTGGTCTTAAACTCCTGGGCTCCAGCAATTCTCCCATCTTGGCCTCCCAAAGTGCTGGGATTACAGGCATGAGCCACCGTGCCTGGCCTCATTTTTTAAAACAAATGAATAAATGGACAAATGAGTAAATGAGAAAGTCTCACACCATGAAAGATGCTAGTCCAATGAGCTGAATATGGAGGTAATATAAATGTCTTCCAACTGTTGATTTTCGGCTCTCAAACTGCCCCTCCTGGGGTAGGAGCATCATCTACATCACTGGGCAGTCACAGGACACTCTACAGCAAGGTTGTAGCGTCCTCTCCAGTGCAGGGAGAAAAGGAACTGTGCCTACCAGAGGTACTCTCTTGTCAGCAGTTTCCATTTCTATTCTTTATGGGACACTAGCAACTAAAAGCAACAAATAATCTGATATAGGTCCCTGTATAGTCATCCTTCAATTCAGTAGCAATATTTTCTGGTCACTACTAACCTGTATTGTATTAAAATGAGACTATTGGAAGGAAATGGTGCTAGAACTAATAACATCTCTTACCAACCTTTACCCAACTCCTGGGTTGGCAAACAGCTGGCCAAATTGCCATCACCTCCCACTTGGAAGCGTATGGCTGATAGCATGAAATAACTGAGCCCAGATGTTCCTTTTGCATCCTCCGAATCCCAAGGCTGGGTGTAGCTAGCTGTTGGAGGCCATTGCTACAGGGCACCTATCTGTTACTGCTGCCATCCTCCCAGCAGCTAATCTCCAGTTCTAGTTCCTTGGTTGCCAGACACAATGGGGGATGTTCTGCACCCAGTGGACTTCGAAAGAGTTTTGAAGACTAATTTTTTGTAAAACAAGTACTTGAGATTTTGGTTTATCCCTAGTAGAATGTATCTCATTAGATTCTCTGATTCTAGGTAAGAATGTGAAAAGATTGATATGTTGTTGTTAGAAATATTGTTATTTCTTTCCAATTTTGTTTTGTTTTGTTTTTGTTTTTGTTTTTGTTTTTGAGATGGGGTCTTGCTGTGTCATCCAGGCTGGAGTACAGTGATGCAATCTCCACTCACTGTAACTCACTGTAGCCTCTAACTCCCAGGTTCAAGCTATTCTCCTTCCTCAGCCTCCCCAGTAGCTGGATTACAGGCATACACCACCACGCCTGGCTATGTTTTGTGTTTTTAGTAGAGATGAGGTTTCACCGTGTTGGCCAGGCTGGTCTCAAACTCCTGACCTCAAGTGATCCACCCACTTCGGCTTCCTAAAGCACTTGGATTACAGGTGTGAGCCACCATGCCCGGCACATTTTTTTACCTCTACGGAAGGTTTTGCTTATTTAATTGTGAGCTCATTTTTCTTTGTTACTACATGATTGTTCCAGATTTGGGAGATAAAATAAAATTAATCTTTTCAAATGTGTCAGCCATTGTATGGGGCTTCCATTTGGGGTGATGAGAAAGTTCTGGAACTAGATAGTGGTCATGGTTATACAACAGCATAAATGCAATTACTGCCACTGAAGTGTATATTTTAAAGTGGTTAAAATGGTAAGTTTTATGTTTTATTACAGTTTTTAAAATGTGTCAACCAACTTTATGGTACATAAATTATATCTCAGTAAAGCTGTTAAATAAATAAATATAGTAAAAATTTTAGAACTAAAAAAAGTGTCAGTCATTGCCCTACGAATATAAACTATAAAATAAGGTATTAGAGGGAGGTCAAGGAAGGGTAGGAGTGAAAACAAAGTGACACTGAGAGAGAGTATTAGCTCTCTATTGCTGTGTAACAAATTACCCCAAAACTTAGCAGCTTAAAACAATAAACATTTATTACTTCACACATTCTATGAGGGTAAGGACATGGGGAGTGGTTTAGCCCAGTAGTTCTGACTCAGGGTCTTTCACGAGATTGTAGTCAAGCAGGCCTGTGGTCATCCCAAGACTTGAGTGGGGCTGCAGGCTCCACTTTTAAGCTGACTCATTCACAAGCACAAGGCTCTTGGCTGGAGGCCTCAGCTCCTTGCCACGTGGGCATCTCCACAGGCTGCTTGGATGTCCTCACACATGGCAGTTAGCTTCCTCCAGAGCAAGTAAGCAGGGAGCCACAGGGCCTTTCATGACCTAGTCTCTAGAGGTATACACTGTCACTTCTACCATTTTTCTATTTGTTAGAAATGAGTCACTAAGGCCAGCCCATATTCTAGGGGAGGAAAATCTTACTTTTCAAAGCAAGTGTCAGATTGGTGGACTTATTTCACACCACGTCAGAGGAAAATGGTCTCGTTTAGCCTCCTGGGGAATAGATTGTCAAGTCTACATGCATTTATCAAATGCTGCTATTTGAAAAGAGAGAGTAGAGAAAGCATTCAACTTTGCTATTTAGCAGTATACTAACCATGAACAAATCACTTCATCCTCTCTGTGCCTTGGTTTTTTTCCTGGTAAAGTGATGGGTTGAATTGGATAATTGCTAAAGTCTCATATCCTTAGTGTCCAGAACAATGCCTGGCACATAGATTCTCTGTAAATGTTGGTTGATTGGCTCTCAAATGACTGAAATCCAGTGTGAGGATGTGAAATAATACTATGCTAAAAAATAGCCTGAGATTTTCCAAACTCATTTTCTAAAAGTATTCTAATAAAAGCTGCTAATTTTTTTGAGTGCTTACTATATGCCAGGCATTGTACTAGCTACTTTAAACAGACTATCTTGTTTAATATAATTTTTTTCTTCCCCCCCCCCCTTTTTTTTTTTGAGACAGGGGTCTTGCTCTGTCACCCAGGCTGATCTCAAACTCCTGCACTCAAGAAATCCTCCCACCTCAACCTCCCAAAGTGCTGGGATTATAGGTGTGAGCCACTATACTCAGCCTTTAATATAATTTTTAAACAACCAGGAGTGATGCTTACATTCATTCAGTCTTAAATGTAAAAGGCTTACTTGGTTTTCATCTTTTCCATTTTTTCAATAGCCAATCTTTGTTCAAGTGTAAAATGATTTATGTCAAGAAAATAACCAAAATGGGCTTGTAAACATAAACATTTGTGAATAAATGTTTATTCATTTATTCATTTTAAATGATGCAGAGAAATTCACTATTTGAAGAAACCTTTTTGTAAATCTTTTTTGTGAATGCAAATTTTGGCTTTTGTTTTTACAAAACCTAAATATATTGACTGACATTTCCTAAATTGAGGTTTTGCTGCCCAGGTTTTCCTGCAGAAGGATTCATACCCATGTATGAGGTGCTGGGGAGGAGGTATAGTGACCAGAGAAATGACACAAACAAAACTAAAGGCATGGCGCCTGCCCCTAAGAGGTTTACAACCTAATTCTATGATATGAAGTTCTTTTCAGCTTAAGTGTTTTTAAGAAAATTGGCCAGGTGCAGTGGCTCACACCTGTAATCCCAACATTTGGGGAGGCTGAGGAGGGAGGATTGCTTAAGCCGAGGAGTTCAAAACCAGCCTAGGCAACATAGTGAACCCCCACCATCTCTACAAAAAACTTAAGAATTAGCGGGGCATGGCAGTGCACGCCTGTAGTACCAGCTACTTGGGAGGCTGAGGTGGGAGGATTGCTTGGGAGGTCGAGGTTGCAGTGAGCCATGATCACACCACTGCACTCCAGCCTGGGTAACAGAGTGAGACCCTGTCTCAAAAAAAATAAAAATAAAATGCCAGCTCTGTTAGTCCAGGTTCTCTAGAGAGACAAGACTAATAGGATAGATGGATATATGAAAGGGAGTTTATTAGGAGAACTGAGTCACGTGATCACAAGATAACGTCCCACAATATGCTGTCTGTAAGCTGAGGAGCAAGGAAGCCAGTCCAAGTCCCAAAACCGCAAAAGTAGGGAAGCCAAGAGCCTCTGGCAAACCACAGGTATAGGTCCGAGAGTCCAAAAACTGAAGAACTTGGAGTCTGATGTTTGAAGGCAGGAAGCATCCAGCATGGGAGAAAGATGGAGGCCAGAAGACATAGCCAGTCTAGTCCTTCCACGTTCCTTTGCCTGCTTTTATCCTAGCTGCTGGCAGCTGATTAGATGGCACCCACCAGATTGAGCGTGGGCCTGCCTCTCCCAGTCCACTGACTCAAATGTTAACCTCCTTTGGAACCAACCTCACAGACACATGCAGGAACCATACTTTGCATGCTTCAATCCAGTTAAGTTGATACTCAATATTAACCATCATACTGGCTGATACCAGATATATTGAAATAATTATTATCCTTTGCAGTGACCACTTAAACTTTAAAACCTATTTTTTGTTCAAGTAGAGAATAGTCACATTGTGTATAGATTGGTTTCCGCTGAAAAACCAGCCTGTTCATCCTGACCATCCCTGCTACCCAGGTGGATTCAGATGGTATAGAAGTAACCACCACATCTCTTGTTCCTTTGCCCTGGTGCCATGGGAGCCACCGCCAGGACGGCAGAAGAGGAGAGTGGCAACTCCCTGGGCCTGACGTCAGGGATTTGTGGCCATCAGGAAGCTAGAGAGATGTTTTCATTCTCAAACTAATTCACCAACGTCACCAGTCATTGATTGCACTTCAGATATTTCATTTAATCACCTTTATTACTTTCGTGACAATAGAGATAATACATAATACTATTACAATTTTTAAAAATATAGAAAGCATAACAGAAAATTAAACAATCCATAAACCACCACCCAGAGACAGCCGTCGTGAACCTTCTTTTACACCCCTGTAACAAGACAGTAATCAAGTGGTCCCTTCGCAGGTTGGTTTTCAATCCCACTGTGCCCAGCTGAGCCCTCTTAGAGATTCAAGATGGTAGATAAATAAAATGTCAGTCTTTAGGAAATCTTCATTTTAATCTCGTTAATGAGGTCCAGATGTTCCCAGGATATTGACTCCAAAGGGCGGTGGTTTCACACTCACACCCCACCCTGTGCTCACTCTCCCCCACGGGCCTCAGGAGGAGGCCTGAACATCAAGAGGCCAATGTGTGATCAGTCAGGCCAGCAAGGAAGGGACTCTGCCTCTAGTGCAGACCAGAGCCTTGCAGAGCCAGACAGAGGAGATAAACACACACTCTCCTCCTTCCTCGGGAAAACAGGTAAACAAGATTTACTGGGCTTTTATTTGCATTAAATGAATCGAAGTTTAGATTTGGCCTTTATGTCAACATTTTATAGGTGAGATCATTCAAGCCCACGCTGTAACATGCACTGGGTGAAGATAAGGGTACCCAAGCCCGGCCAGACCCCAGCAGGGGGTGAGGGGGCATTTGAGGAGCCCCTGCTCCCAGGATGCTCACTTGCAGTGGGGCACAAACATGAGGCTTGGACGAGGGTAGGTGGGGAGGACCCAGGACGGTGAGCAGAGGGGCTCACCAGTCAGAGGAACGCTGTGTGACGCCCAGCAAGGAAACCCACATTGTCTTAATTTTTGTTTTTTGTTTGCTTATTTTTCTTTTGTTTTGTTTTGTTTTTGAGACGGAGTCTCACTCTGTCACCCAAGCTGGGTACAGTAGCGCGATCTCGGCTCACTGCAAGCTCCACCTCCCGGATTCACACTATTCTCCTGCCTCACCCTCCCAAGTAGCTGGGACTACAGGCGTCTGCCACCACGCCCAGCTAATTTTTTGTATTTTTAGTAGAGACAGGGTTTCACCGTGTTAGCCAGGATGGTCTTGATCTCCTGACCTCGTGATCCGCCCACCTTGACCTCCCAAAGTGCTGGGATTACAGGCGTGAGCCATCGCGCCCGGCCTGTTTTTGCTTTTCACCCACATGAGAGCTGTGAATTCTTTCTGTATAAAGTATTTCTAAAGGCAAAACCTTTGATTAGCATGTACTCTGGATCTGTTAGGGAAGCAGCTGGTTTGGTTTGAAAAGGTTATTTGGACCGGGCGCGGTGGCTCACACCAGTAGTTCCAGCACTTTGGGAGGACGAGGCGGGAAGATCTTTTGCAACCAGGAGTTTGAGACCAGCCTGGGCAACATGGCGAAACCCTATCTCTACAAAAAATATATGTATAAATATTAGCCGGGGCCGGGCGCGGTGGTTCAAGCCTGTAATCCCAGCACTTTGGGAGGCCGAGACGGGCGGATCACGAGGTCAGGAGATCGAGACCATCCTGGCTGACACGGTGAAACCCCGTCTCTACTAAAAATACAAAAAACTAGCCGGGCGAGGTGGTGGGCGCCTGTAGTCCCAGCTACTAGGGAGGTTGAGGCAGGAGAATGGCGTGAACCCGGGAGGCGGAGCTTGCAGTGAGCTGAGATCCGGGCACTGCACTCCAGCCTGGGTGACAGAGGGAGACTCCATCTCAAAAAAAAAAAAAAAAAAAAAAAAAAATTAGCCGGGCATGGTGGTACATGCCTGTGGTCCCAGCTATTTGGGAGGCTGAGGTGGGAGGATCACCTGAGCCTGGGAGGTTGAGACTGCAGTGAGGCGGGATTACATCACTGCACTCCAACAGCCTGGAGGACAGAGCAAGACTCCGTCTCAAAAAAAATAAGAAAAAATAAAAGGTTACTTGTTGGGGCTTCATCATAGGGTATCTGGTTTTCCTTGGTTCTTAGGCCACAGCATGGATGAAAGTATTTGCTTTAACTCATACAGGTGATGGAAATATGGGGCCCCCACATCCAGGACTCCAGGACAAGGAGAAGGGTTCGTCTCAGTGG